GAAAATCGCCTTTAAAGTTGTCCAAATGAAGTTCTTAGCAATGAATATTATTAATCAAAAATTAAGTTTTGATATATTTATGGTAGGAAATTTACTAAATATCTTCTTGGAATATGATCTTTACTTAATATCCTAATGATTTTTGGCATAAAAGAAAAATCGATACTTTTGACCCATACAATGTATTGTTGGATATTGCTACAAATATAACCATGCGACTTATGACTGGTTTTGTGGTCCAGGGTCACATACAATTCATTTTACACATATAAAATTTAAATTATAGAAATATAAAACATAAAATATATAATATTTAAAACATATATGCAAACACTACTGTTCAAATGTCTGGGGTCTTTAAATTTTTTTTACTGTTTTTGAAGGTCACTTTTGCTCACCGGACTGCATTAATTTAATCAAAAACACAATAAAAAACGTAATATTGTGAAATTAATTATTACAAATTATGCATTGCTTTTTTGTAATATTGTAAATGTCTTTACTGTCACTTTTTATTAATATAATACATCTTTGCTGAATAAAAGTATTAATTTATCTCAAAAAAATAAACTAATTAACTTTACAGACCCTAAACGTATGACTGTTAGTGTGTATTTATAAGATAAAAATTTTTTTTTAACAGTAGAAAATGTGTCTTAAAATTGGAAATTAGTTGGTTTTTATATAGTTCCTCACATGGGGATAATCAAATCTGGGGGTCTGTGGCAGCAAATTTGAGACAACACTCAGTGTTAAGCAATCTATGGCCACATTGCAAACTCTCTCACCTCGAGCCTTCTGCCTTAGTGCTGATTTAAGCAAGGCAGCTTTGAGAGCTGCTTTTGTGTCTTCTGAAATTGCTCCCTCTTTTTTTGTACCTTCCCCGGTTGTCGCTTTCCCTCCTTTGCCCAGGGAACGAGTGAGATTTTGAGAGAGCGACTGAGCCTGGGACTGTGTGAGAGAGAGTGAAGGGATCGACTGAGGAAGACTTGAAGTGGGCGGAGTCTGAGAGACAGGGTGGGACGGAATCATTTGATTGGACGAGTCAAGCTCCTCCTTTGTGCAGTTCATCACCGGTTCGGTAAACGACGCATCCTTGTCCGTGGGAGTGGTCAGATCGATGGTCTCAGGCTGGCCATCAGAGTTCGCGCTGGGCATGTCCACATCCTGGCAGCTTACCTGAGCCAAATGTGGCAAAATCTGAGTAAGGTGATGTGAAGCTTGAAACGAGTTTGCATTCGTTTGAGTTTGCGTAGTGTCTGTAGGTTTGAAGTTGAGATTTGTGCGAGTTTGTGCTGTTTCTGTCAAGTTTTGAGACTGCGGAGTCGCGCAAAGAGTGCTACCAGACACCCCAACCCCTGCCGAACCAGAATGGAGAGGCCTAAACTGGATCTTCTTCCTGACGCCCTGCTTCTTCTTATGGAAGTCCTGGATTTCTGCTAGTATAGCTTCTTTGATTTGTTCTTTGCCCATTGGCTGCCGATCAAACTCAAAATCAAAGGCAGGAACGCACACTGGCTCGTCGTCTGCGTCGTGGTACTTGGCGAGGTAAGGGTGTTCGAGGGCTTGACATGCACTGAAGCGCTCACGAGGGTCAAATCGGAGCATTGCGCCCAACAAGTCCAATGCACTGGGCTCAGCTTGCGGATACAGTGCTGCACGCGGCTCTGCTGCTTTTGAAGGGAGGCTTCGCACGTAAGAACGCACACGGTCTGACCCTATCGAGCCGATGATGCTCTCGGGTGGCGTTCCCAAAACCGAAAGAATCAGCTGAAGCTGATGCACATAGTTTTTCCCTGGAAACATCTGCCTCCTGCCGAGCATCTCGCCAAAGATGCAGCCAACAGACCAGAGGTCGATGGCCAAGCTGTAGTGATGAAGCGACAACATGAGCTCAGGAGCGCGGTACCAACGTGTGGCCACGTATTCGGTCATAAATGAACTTGACTCTTCAGAGTGGGCCGCGCTTAATCCGCGCGCCAAGCCGAAGTCGCCAATCTTCAGCTCGCAGTTTTCATTCACCAGCAGGTTGGACGGCTTGAGATCACGGTGAATGACGTTGGCCGAGTGAATGTATTTCAGGCCTCTTAACAGCTGATACAGGAAATAGCGTGTGTGTTCTGGGGTCAGAGGTTGGCGGGAGTGAATAATCTGATGCAGGTCACTCTCCATGAGATCAAGAACCACGTACCTAAAGAATGAGAGTCACTTTTAGCACATTAAATATGAGGAGAGAATATGCTTGCTGCTTTGAACTCAAGCTTACACTGATTTGAAAGCCGAGTGAGGGACCACAGGCTGCAGAATGTCTTTAATGGCGATGATGTTGTCGTGTTTGAAGTGCTTGAGAATCTTCAGCTCTCGCAGAGTGCGTTTGGCATTCGTCACAACCTCAAAGGCATTAGGGATCTTCTTTATTGCCACCTGCTGGCCTGAATGCATAAATAAGTTCAGATATTAGACAAATTACCAAATATCTATCCAAACAGATTCAGAAATTCAGAATTAACAGATATACACCTTATATACACCTTATTTTTCAACACAGAATAAGCTATTTTCCAATTCAATAGTGGCTATAGGTAAATGACTAAAAGAATAAGTGTAAATACAAACTATTTGTGCTACAAACTAGTGTGCTTATGATTACAATAATAAATTAAAGCTGCAAGCAGCGATGAAAGGGCCCTCGCACCCGGACTCACCGCCACCCGGTGGCTTTAGGAAAACAGCGAACGGTGAGCAATATGCATTTAAAGTGTTAAATATAGAAGGAAAATGTCCAAGTCATTTATATGTGCCAAACTTCCTGCTGCCAGCTGGTGGCGCTATAACTATAATTGAATATTGGCATGTAGATCTCTTCAGGCCAGGACATTTATCAAACATGTGAAGTTTGGTGCAGATTGAACATGGTATGTTTTAAGTTAGTGCAAAACAAGTCATATCCTGTTGCCAGCAGGTGGCGCTATGATTATAACTGAATATTGGTCTTTAGATTTGTTCAGGCGAGGACTCTTATCAAACATGTGACGTTTGGGGCAGATCAGACATTGTATGCATTAGTTACAGCAACTTCCTGTTACATGGCATTAACAGCATGGTTTAGCACTTAGTAAGTGTTGCTAACATGTTTCTAGCATGTTGCTAGCCTATTTAACACTTGCTGACGGTTTTTAATATGTTGTTAGGAGTTCATAACAGTGTTAACCATGACACTTCCTGTTGCCAGCAGGTGGTGCTATGACTATAACTGAATATGGGCATGGACATGTGTTCAGGCTAGGACTCTTATCAAGCATGTGAAGTTTGGGGCAGATCGGACATTGTTTGCCTGAGTTATAGCAACTTCCTGTTTCATGGCGAAACATCAAACTTTGTCAGGCCGCCAGGGACACGCCCTTTAACGAAAACTCAAGATCTTTGCAATTTAGCGTCGCAAAGGCCTTATGATCACACTCACCAAATTTGAAGATGATCCGATTAAAACTGTTGAAGGAGTTTGTTAAAGTACGACGCCTGAAAATGGCAAAAACTGCACAAAAATCGTAGAGAAAATTAAAAATAGCTCACTTCCTGTTGGGTTTCGGATGTTGTACCAGGAGACTTTTTTTTGTAAGTATTGGTGTGTTACATGTGTGTACCGAGTTTCGTAAACGTACATGAAACGTAGCAGGAGGGGCACTTCGTTGAAATTTTATAGGTGGCGCTATCGAGTCATTTTGCCACACCCACTTCTGAAACCCATATCAGAAGTAAATTTTCGCCACCTTGTGCAAAGTTTCGTGAGTTTTTGAGCATGTTTAGGCCCTCAAAAATGTGATTCATTTTAGAGAAGAATCGGAAGAATAATAATAAACGGAGCAATTCCAATAGGGTCCTCACACCATCGGTGCTCGGGCCCTAATTAAAATTATATGAAAACAAATACCAGTTTGCAAAATCAAGCATCATAACAGCAATTTTTGTACAGCTAAAATAACTAGAAGTGACACTAGTAGCCAAGTTAAAAAAAATGGCAGTGTCCGCTGATACATAAAAATAAAGTGGATACATAAAATTTACATTTATGCATTTTTGGCAGAAATAAATGTAATTAAAAAATTAAATTAAAATAAATTAAATGAACAGTATGTTCATAATTAAGATAATACATTAAAATAATATGGTAAGACCAATGTGCAATTTCAAGCAGCAAAACAAGCAGTTTTGTACAGCTAAAAATAGCTGGAAGCCAATGAGACTGTAAACAAGACCCATACAATTTACAAATGGCCGTGCCTATTTTTATGGTAAGGAATAAGGTGGATAGGAACATTAATTGATTATTTACATTTTAAATCAAAATAATTACATGATAATAGGGGTGGGAGAAAAAAATCGATCCATCGATGCATCGCGATTCTCTCTCCAACGATTCTGGATCGATTCTGGATTCCGAGCGTAGTTTTGCGCTCGATGACGCCGAGTTTGCTTTAGAAACACCCGTATTCTGCTTGCTTCCAATTCCTCACACACATACACCACTCGAACCTTCCGTAAAATAATCTTTCATAAAGTTCAGAAAGGTTGAAACGAATTGCAAGGACATTCGCGGGCTTTAAGAAAAATCACTCACAGTTCTTGAATGGAAAA